GTAACGAGAAAGCCAAACGAGAGTGGCAAAGAGAGGAAGAAGAAAACGAGAAAAGAAAGAAAAAGTCTCAACGCGGTGAACTTTTTCAAATTCTACGCGAAATTATTTCAGTGTCGTTAAACGTTCCCGGGGTGGAAATTAATTCCGGAAGGAAGGACGCCGGAAAAGCTCGTCGGTGTGCCACCAGAAGCGAAAGTGGACGTTGAGTAGTAGCGAGAAGGACGATTATTCGCGATTCGCGGCAGCAAGAGAGGAGGCGGTAAATCAGAAGATTATTTAGCGGTGGCGAAAGTGGTTGGCAGAGGCGTGAGCACCGAGGACGGGAAGTCGAGACGAACGTGCTCGTTATACGAGTGGTTCCGTGTCTCATGTTTATTCCTCCGGGTGTCTCCTTTTATTCCTTCGCGCTACACTCTCTATGATCCTTGTGCGCCACGCCGCCGCCTCTCGTCGCTTCCTTTATGCGTTCACACGTGAAAGTGATGTCAATTTGCTCACACGGATTCGATTCCATTCGATTCTCGACACTTCACACACGTGTCCCTCTCTCTTTTTTAAAAAGGCCCCGACACACACACACACAGATTCCCTCTTTCAACCACCGTGACTAACACTTCGTTGTTACCCTAACCATTCGATAACGTTTTATATTCCCCTTTTCACAGGACGACTTATTTCCGCGCGGAATACGTTGCATCCTTGAAACAACGTTTTATCGCCGGAACGGTTTCAACCGACACCGCTGTTTGTTCAATATTGCACCGTCATTAGTCGCGTTCTCGTCCAGCTACCGTTGGCCGATAAGCGGAATTCGTTCGAATGGAAATTGAACGATCGTTGAAAAATACACTTCACCTGTTCTACGTGCAGTTATCTCTCTACGAGGTCTCGTATTCTCTCTTATTCATCGCGGTAATGTGTCTTTCTAACGTCGACGTTAATTTGCATGCTGGAAAAATGTCTCTCTCGGACAAAAGGAACTTCGGGTAACCTTTATTATATGGTGTCAGACGAGAATTGGACGGTTGACAAAACACGACAGCATCTTTTCTTCGAGCTGGAAATTACTCTGGTCGTTGTTTCTTTCGTCTGGTAACGACGAGTGTTCTTTTCAACAGCACCGAGGAAACAGTCACGCGTGTTACGAAAAGTAATGGCAGGTTGTTCGCTCGCGAGAGTAACAATCTCTCCCCGGTCCATCCATTGAAATTACGGCAGCGTCTTCGTCGGAATTATGGCCTCTCGGTTTTCATTATCGCGCCACGACGATCCACGATAGTGACGTTTTAATAGCTTGGATCTCTCTGGATAGGAGGAAGGGACACCCAGGTCTCGAGAACAATTTCTCCAAGGATACGCGTCGCGAGACGGAGGTGGATGGACGAGCACTTAGGCTACGAGTAAGAGACTGAGCTAAGGAGAGGAAAGCTCGATAAAACGATTTTTCCCTTAATGCAGTCCCTCTTTCTCTTCGTCCGGCAATATCGCCAGCCGTAAATCAGGAAACGAGAAGTTTCCCACTTTGGGACGATTTATCCGATGAAACTGGTGTAAATTTCAATATCGTACCCAACCTGGACAACGAACTTTCCCTCTCTCTCTCTCTCTCTCTTAGGTTCCGCTGCGATAATATTTAACACCCGGTCACAACCGTTATCATAGCCAACGGTCTTCAGCTCCAATTTACGCTAGAATCATTTACGTTCTTCCGGTAATAGCCGCGACGCGGTAATTCCCTGCTCGCCGCGGCTAGAATTTCTGATAACCAGGCAATAACGTAGGGCTTGGCCTGGTCGAAAACTTGCTCACCGGTTCAATGGATCTGTGTCGCGGATGCATTAAACTTCCAGCAACTTAGCCGCGCTATCTATCCTCCTTTCGTTTCGGTAACGCGTATTAAGCGTCTCGCGGTACCGGCGAGAGTTTTCTGCTTGTAATTCAGGCAATTTACCCTCCTTAATTAACGATTTAAATTGTACCTAGCCGTGTTTTTCTCGTCTCTCGCGGAAACTCGCTCGGGGGCGGAATATTCGACGAATTAACGGCGGAAAATACGAGCGACTAATGAAACGACTACCACCCGGATGAAATTGTCTCGAGGGACAGAAATTAGCGTCGTCAAAGAGGGATACTCTCCTTGCGAAGTGGCTCCGTCGTTCGTGCACACGTGTTCGCCAGACACACACGCTGCTATTTCGCGTGGTCGTTGTGGAATCGCAGACAACGCTGCTGCCGCAGAATTGCGCTATTAATCAGCTAGCTTAGCCGAGAAATCTGATGTCTCTCTGCTGCACAACTCGCGCTACAAATTTCTCCACGGACAACGCTACGTCTCAAGACGATATCCAGCTAAGCTCCTTGCCAATTTTCCGGCGGATCGATTTATCCCTCGTCCGAACGATCGATCTTCTTCGCGACATATGCGACTTCTGCACGATCGACTCGACGACCACCGACGGTGCATAATGGCGGACGGAGGAGAGAAACTTGGGCCCAAAGGATGGAAATGAAGCCACGTCGTTTTTTAGCCGCAGAGCTCGCGTTGCATGCATGCAGCACACCTGGGCTGAAACGGTTTGATAGAGTAATGTGGCTCGTTCACGGAAAACCAGCGAGAGGGTGAGAGAGAGAGAGAGGCCTCCTTGCTTTTATGACGGAGGATTATCGACGTTTACCCTTGTTGGATTTGCCTAGGGAAACTTTACGCTAGGCGACGCACAGCCTGCTTTCCCTCTACAGTCTACAGAGCGAGGCGAGAGTTTTACAGAGGGTTGCCTCTCGCGATTACGACGACCACACGCGTAACGGAAATTAATTAATATTTAACGTACGTCGATTTCGCGCGGCGGTTTATTAACTCGTATGTACGTGCCACGGGATTGTAATTAATTTCTCGCAAAACGGATCTGGTTGCTGATTATAAGCGGGGAGGGATATTTTACGAGCGCGTTTCGAGATCGTTGATCGATCCTCCCAGCGTCCATTGTGCCGCGATAAATTGAACGCCTTGCGATTTCGCCGTGTAGATAGGACACCGCGTGTACGAAATATTGGACGTATCGGTAGGTGGGGAAGGTTTTCGCGACGATACACGGCGGGTGTTGCAAGTTGAAATCGATTGATGGCGAAATGAGCCGCGAAGTGTAACCTGTCCGACGGAATTACGTTATTGTACGAGCTATCAACCGTGAAAACGGGGCTTTTGTCGGGGTATTTTATACGTTCGGGGCTTTGTGCTTCTTAATGGCTCGGGAGGAGATCCCTTTCTTTGCATACGGGGGGGAATATTGTCGTGAGTTATGTGATACGAGTGTTGAACACAGGTGAAATATCTGGGAAATAGGAATTATTAATTTATCTGTTTAATCAGCAATATATAATTCTCAGAAATTTTCTTCCGTAATATTGTTACGTGTAATAAACCACAGTTAAATTCTACATTGTTAATTTTCCTAATGCACGATGTTTTATCAATTTTTTCAAATCGTTTGGGGGAAATCCCTCTCTTTGCATGGGGAGGAATAATATCCTTTGTGCGATACGAATGTTAATCATAGATGAAATATTTGGGAAACAGGAATTATTAATGTACTTGGTTAATTGGAAATATATAATTCTCAGAAATTTTGTTCCATAATATTGTTACATATAATAAACCATCGTTAAATCCTATATTATTAATTTTCCTATTGCACGATTTTTTATCAATTCTTTTCATGGGGAGGGATAATAGCCTTTATGCGATAGATGAAATATTTGTAAAGCAAGAATTATTCATTTACTTATATACATACTTTCTCACCAAATTTTCCAGAAATACCTTCAACACTCTCAAACATCCATTCAACCAGCAATTCATTCAGACAGAAAACACGCTGAAGACACTATGCAACGACTGCCAACGTGATCTGTAGAACAAACGCGTGCACGATAGAAAGTGGCAAGTGGAAATCGTTAACTTCATTGAGTAACCGTTCCATCATCTTCCTCTGTACAACGCAATATTATAAAAAGAAAAAAAATCGAAATTAGCCTGCACGTTACGCAAAGATATTTCCCACAATATTTACACGAACTGTTTCACATTGTGGAAACATAATTGGGACGAGGCTCGCGGTTTGTTTGACGGAAAGTTGAATTTCTCCGGTGAAGGCGTTTATTATAGCAATGGAACAAGGAGGGTGAGAGAGGCGAGAGGGGAGGCTAATGAAGACACAGATAATAAGCTTGTTAGCGACGTGGGCGAAAGACGCAGGCATCGCGATAGTTAGCCTTATATATGCAGAGTCAATGGATGTGTCGGCATAAAGGGAGCTATTCTCTCTACGTTCACTCTCTCGAACACACACGGTTCGAGCAACTTTGATGAATAGTTTGTGGCGAGTGGCCGACGCAAGCACGACACACGGCGATATTTAGAGACATGCGACCTCGCAGGGTGAAAAGGAAGCGCGAACGTCAACGGGGAGAGAACTTGAGACGATGGGCTAGTTTCTAGGGATATTTTCGGCTGGTTCTACCGTAAATGGAGCAGTCTACCTTTCTCTGCCTTAATTTCGAACCGTTTCAACTGATTCTGAACTTTGCTATTGGAAATGGGTTATTGAAATAAAATAGTCTTTGGGCACCCAAAATGGGAAAGCTGGGGTCCGTTTATACCTACGAACTGTTTACTCTATTGTATCGCAGTGTACAGTGCTGGGACTGGAAGACGAACACCAGACGAACGCCTTAGTGTCTTTGCCTAAAAGAACACGGAGACATGTTTGTCCTCGCTTGATTATTTCTACCGGGTGTTCTTAGAAATAATCCAACATTTGCAAACACTTTGCTTACGGTTTGAAGTGTTCACTGTTTCTATAAGAAAAATTGAATTGTATATTTAGAAAAAATGTGTTTGACTAACGTCCAGTTGTGGATTCTTCGTCGTTCTCGATCCTCCCGATGGCTAATCGTAATTCGTATAGGGAAATTGATGTGCCTTCTTCGTTCTGTTGCAGCTGGAGCCGCTTCTGAGGACACTAACCAAAGGTCCAGTTCTGCACACAATCGCCACTCTCTCACGAAGGGTAAGCAGTCACATAGTGGCTACACGTGATCCGAAAAGGAGATCCACGGCACGGATATATATAAATATATTCGATCGATCACGTTGAAACACGCGTATATATATTGTAACTGTTGCGATGCTATGTCGCTTTTCGTTCCTTTTTTTCTTTCCCTTATCGACTCGTTTGCACACGTGATCGGCATTATCGCTGAAATCTCTGCGCACACCTCATGCATGGTCGTTCAATTATACATTTCTCTCACTCTCTCTACATATGTGTATGTACGTGTTGAAAAAGAACGGGCGTTTAGGTTCCTCTCATACGGCATGCCTCGTCCGCGGGAAGGTGTATCATTTCGTTTCCCTTTTTGCAACCTTCCGGCAAATTTTTGTGTTGTAACGCTGCTGCCGCGCGCAGCTGTCACGGGAATCCTTTTTTCGTTGATCAGTGGCTGTAAATTCGCGAAAACAAAAGAGTCGTTTCGAACGTAAAGGTGTAGCTGGCGTAAACTTCGCCGTTGTTATTTCCCATTAACGGAACCGAGAGCCAGGGAGAAAGAGTAGGAGGAGCAAAAAAAAAAAAACACACGGTACAGAGAGATATTCGGTTCAGTGATCGTTGCAAAATCATTACTTCTTCTCGAATCAACGTGCTAACGAGTGTCATTGTTACTTCTCGAGGTTATCCCGTCCAACTATTTCTATCTCTTCGGGATTGAAATTTTAAGGTCACACGAGGCTCGGTAGAATTTGTTTCTTTTTTATTACACTCCGGTACAATTGAAATGGAGAGAGGAGGGAGAGAAAAAAAAATTGAAAATACAATATACCCTTGAATACGCATTCCACTTTCGGAGTAAAATCGAAAAAATCGATCTGTATATCCGAGCTACCTCTGAATGCATAGCTGGAATATCTGGTCCACGGTAGATAACGAACGTAATATCAGCGCGCGTTGTAAAACGAGAAATGGATTTAATAACGTTTTAATTCCATCGGTTGGTCGAGCCGGCGCGGATTTCTAGCTCGCCTCACCCAAAGCCAGATGTTTAATCAACCGTAAGGATGTGGTGTGGCGTCCATGAAATTGATAATAACGAGCGCATTTGTCCGGAAGGATAACGAAAAATCGGTGATCGTCGAGCCCTGAAAAATCCGTTTGAACCGCGAAGAGAGAGAGAGAGAGAGATTCGTTCCAAATGTTTACTCGTGCTTTCCACGTTCTAATCTCCGCCGCGATAGGATCCTTGGAAAAAGTATCTTTTTTAAATCGAACTCGTCGTTAACGTTCAAGTGGGGAAAAACACGTTGGCTTAAAAGCTTCTAGAAATTTTGTTCTCTCCACTGGCGTTTGAATACCAGGAGGAAAGGAGAGAGAATCTCACGGTTGAACACAGAGCGAGATAGCAAGTTGAAAGTTACATCCTCTATTATCGCAGGAAGCAGAAATTTCACCCGTTGCGTTTTCCTGGCTGGAGCTACAATATTTCCACAGAGATAAGATAAACGTGAAATTAGAGGGGGGGATTAAAGCCGGTTCGTCGATAAGGTAATTAGAAGCGTGCTCGAGGAATATTCAGACGGAGGAGCGTTAAGCGCAAGGACAATTATCAGGCCTCGAGGCCAGAAACAGAAACAAAGTAACGTTACACGCGGTTGTAACCGTGGAGAAGAAAGAGGGGGATCGTTGCACACGCGAGCCTCGTTCGCTCGTTAAATATTAGTAGAACACTCCGGTGGCGCTAGGATGAGAAACCAGGACAATTTCGATCGTCACCCGCAGACTCCCGACGTGCCTCCATTAAAATGGAATACGAGCCACTCGACGCGGTGCGTTTAAATCGCAGCCCGTACTCACCGTCGGTACGTATGCACGGGCTGTTTCGACTCGATGAAACTGAATTTAAACGTATTCATGGCTGCACTCGCGGCAAATAGAAGCTACTTTGCTGAGCTAGTTCAAGGTTGTTGTTGTAGGTTTAGAGGGTTGCCGGGTTGCAGACAGCTGTTGAATAAAATTTTGAAGAGTAACGGATGTGTTTAACTGCTGGAGTATCTCTGTTTTATTTCTGTTACCCTTAAAAGCTGTTATCAGAGAAAATCACGTTAATGGTATCATGGGTGAAATATCACACCAAGCTAACTCCTTCTTCTAACTTTTGAGTATAATCAAAGTTTTATCTAAAAAGGATAAAAACAGATCAGTGGTCAAAATAATTTCCATTATCGTTGATGACCTTTTGCCATTTTTCTGGCAGATTGCGGATACAATTGCGATAGAAACTCGGTGGCTTTGAATCAATTATGTGAATCCAGTCGTAAAATTGAACTGTTTCGTGATAACGTTGTCACTGAAGATAGCGTGAGTAAATACTCAGTGTTGTCAGTGGTAGCGTTTTTCAGTAAGATTAAAACAAAACTCGCATAGGGTGAAATTTCACATATGGTAGCCTTTAAGGGTTAACACTCGCAACTCTTCACTCTCAATGCTCTCTATAACTCTCGCTCTGTGACCATTTCTCTCTATCTCTGTGAAACTACCTCTCACATGTCTCATTCAGCCTTTTTTATTCTTTCACCCGCTCTTTCTCTCCTCCTCTCTTTTTCTATTTCACGTCCACTCAAATCTTTGGATGGTCACGCACTCTTGCTCAAACACCACAGTTCCAGCTCAAATATTCTTACTTCACGCAAAAAATCCTACCACACGTCTAGCTCTCTGGTCAAAACAGTCCTTTTAAATATTTACAATTACAATCCATCATTCCCACAATGTTTGCGTTTCTCCCTCGCAATTTTCTCTTTTCCATCGTCGAAGAGGAAAATTAAATGCTCTACACGTCTAGCTCTCTGGTCAAAACAGTCCTTTTGAATATTTAATGTTTGCGTTTCTCCCTCGCAATTTTCTCTTTTCCATCGTCGAAGAGGAAAATTAAATGCTCGTAATTACCGCTGATTAATCCACGAGAGATTATGAAATTCAATCGCGAATAACACGAGAAACGGGAAGAGAGGGGTGTATTAAAAAACATCAACGCAGTGATATTAAAAACGTAATAACGAATCGGAAGGTTGAAGTGGTTACGGACAGAGAGATCGAAAGGAACCGATAATAAATCATCGATCGTCTGTTGGACGCGGTGGTGTTGTTACCGGTGAAAAAGCGGACGCCGCTCGGCATTATGTATTATTCGAGGAGCAGCGTGAATATTGTACCGATGAGCCAGAAGAGTGGAGTAGTAGCTGAAGGAGCAAGGATAGAGAAAAGGGTGGTTTGAAGTGGAGAGGCAGTCGGCTCGAGAAGTGCCGTGAGGACAGAAAAATAGTAAGAACGGTGCGCGAAGGTAGATGGGAAGAACAGATTCCTATTGTTTTCCGACCCACTTCCTAACGCTGGAAGATTAACAGAGTCCCTTGGCTGTATCTACTGACAGATTTTTCAACGTGCAGCCCGCGAGATGCTTTTGCGACCTTGCCAGCGCGGAAATAGGAACATGCTGACCTAAAGAGGCGCGTTTCAACCAGTTGTGGGTCAGTGTGACCGAATTTTATGGCTTCGGATCTTTCTTCGAAAATATTTTCACCTTTTTAACACGTTCACTGTCACGCAAAATTTGCATATTACTCTCAGAGGGCCGCGAGAAAATTTTTATTATTCTAAGCGTAATATTATTATGTTTTTTTAATTCGAAATTTCATTTTATTGTTAATTATTCTAAACATTTGAGGTCCTCCGGACACTAATGGCCATCGTGGTCCCATTCAGGAAACAATTTCCGGTCACAGGTGACCAACGTGACAGTCAACGTGCTAAACTAAGATTCGTTATTAATTGGAAATTTATCCAATCCTGGAAAACTAATTAATTCGAAATTGTTCTTCTATTTACGAAAGTATATAGAAAGAATTTTGGAGAAGGTATCGAAGCTCGAACGGTACGTTGGCCAGACAGAGAGCTACTGGAAAAGGCTTTTGTGTGCACGCATGGATTTTCCACCTTCTGAAGATCCGAGATACGCTCGCTATGTTGTTTCATGGAACGTTGCGTCGCATTGTAACACAGCGATCCAGCCAGGCGCATTCCTATTGGCAACAACAATAGGCTGGTATACGGACGCTCAATTGGCAACGCGTTCTTTGTCGTTTTTCTTTTCCACGGAAGAAAAGACCTCCGCCGTGTCTTTCTATCGTTCGTTTAAAGAACACGTGTATCCTTTTATTTGCACCCTTTCTTCGATTGCTTCTCGCGTCGAATGTTCAGAAATCGCGAACGTGGAACTAACGGCATAAATTACGTGGTTCATTTAAGAGAGAGAGAGAGAGAGATGCATTTTCCTTTCATGTCTATTGTGTGCTTAAAGTACCCTTCCTACTCTTCGACCTACTTCTCTCTCGAGTGGGTGTTCGTATTTTTATAGAACGATTCAATTTCTCTCCGATCGTTACGAATCGATAAGAGGTTTTAATTTCTTCTTAAAAGTCGAGGGAAAATTAAAACGATCGAGGGGGGCTTCGTCGTCTTATCGAGCTTTTTCCAGTTACCCTTTGAAATCGTCGATAAGGTAACGAGGCAGCCGGGGTTCCACCAAGGCAGAGCTGAAATTGTTCGATCGAGTAATAAGTTTGCAATCGTAGATTACGGACTCTTGGTATTCATCGAACGACTCGAGGCTTCCGATGAAGCCTAGGAGTCTGCGACAGAACGTTCTAGTGGAGATAAGGTTCAGAAATGGGTGGAAACTATCGCAGATCCAGGACTCTCTCTCGCTCTCGCATTCTCTTGGCTCCGACAATTGGGTTTCTTCACGGCGGAATTTCAATTCCGACGCGGCCTACGGAACCAGATGAAAAGGCTTGAATCTCCATTGTTTTCCGACTCACTTCCAGCCGACGGAAGATTAACAGAGCCGACGTGTGTATATCCCAAGCGCCGAGGGCCTCTCGACGTTTTTCGACCGTTTTCGCGGCAAGCGGGACTCATTGTGGCTCGAGACCGCTGTAATTCAGAATCATCGTCCCGAGGATTTTCTTCTTTCTACCTTGGGAAATTTTTTTCCCCTCCATCTTCTTCTTCCCCGCCTGTAATCACCTTGAAGGGAGCGTGCTCTCATTTACTCACGTTTGTATATACTATACACACACACACGCGTACAAATAATATCCTTCAAGTTTTTCTCTCTATCTCGTTGCCCGAGGCACTCGATGGGCCTGGGGGGCTGCGAAAGGGTATTGATTCACGTATAACACCTCAATCGAGGCTCTCCTCTCGAGGTCTTTCCCGTGGAAAAGAAAACTAGACCGCCGGTGTGTTCATTACGCGAGTGCTGCACGCTTAGTGCACCGTGCGTTTTCAATACGGTGTATGTTCTTTTTTCCTAATTTGCTGACGCGCTTTTCCCCCCGTTGACAACCCTCTCCACTTTCCCCGAGACAGAACTTTATATCCGTAACGTCGAAACGCTTTCACCCTGCTTCCCCTTTCTGGCGAACCTGCTCCCTCTCGCACACTTCACCTCCATTTCGCTGGATACTCTCGCTTAGGCGACGTCTCTCTCCGTCTCGTTCGATTCCGCATCCGCATTGCTAATGAAACGTCCAATTACCATCAACGGTTGCCACGAGGCGGTCCATTTCTCTCTCCATCTCTCTCTCACACTTTTTCCTCTCTTCTGACATTTGCAATCACCAGCCGGAAACAACATCGGCAGGTAGCGGCGGTCTTCCTCCGGTCTGACGTTCGATGGAAACGCACCGAACTCTGGCTCTCACGGCTTCCATTCGAACATCTTCCTTTTTTTCCCCCTCGTTCGATTGGCTGGTCGGGAAAGTAAGTCACACTTCCCCACTTTACGTAGTTCTTCACGATGAGATTCTTCATGTCCCCTTTAATCGCAAGAAACCCTCGAACAAAACACGAGAGAGATTCCATCAACTTCCGACGGAGATAATTGACCTCTTCGGCGTCCATTTGCAACTCTGCAGACCGTAATCGGGCGGTGATCGCTTAAAGAACACGTTGCAGGGCTCCCCTTCTGTAATTATGCGCTCCGAGCCCCCATTCACCGCGGTCGTTCGTTTTCCAATTATCAATTATGATCGACGACGTGGCGCGCGAGATGAATGTCGCGCTTTTTCAACGCGCGACATTTGCGATCAGCCAGCGGAAGCATCAGCGTCGGATAAAACGTTTCCCTCTCTCTCTCTGAATGGGAATCAACGCCATGTGTCGAGAGTAAACGAGGGAGATTCACAATTAACGACGGTCGCGATTTGCGCGATAGAAGACGATCTTGCACCGGTGAATTTTCGAAAAGTCTGCGCGCTTCCATCGCGGAAATCCCCCTCGCTGGTCCGCCGTTACTGCGTCGTTATTCTTCGCGCACGTTTAATAGTACAGCGGGGGGAAATTTATGGGACTTTATGCACCCTTAAATTGTGAATTTCGCGTGCAGAAATATTAGCCAGTTTTCCCTACCCGCTGACCATTCTTCTCTCCGATTCAGAAATACTGCAGTTTCTTTCGTTTTTTTTTTTCGGCGAAAGAGGATTAGTTAGGAATTATGTACTCTGTGCTTTTTGAAAACGGAAATCTGTAGCTGCCTCCCATTTTTTCTCTCTTTGTACCGGTTCGCTGCCTTTTCTTGGATAGAGATTCAACTGTGCTAGATTAACAGATGGGCGAGTTATATCTTGTTCGTTGTTCCGTGATATATAATGCCGGAATATATCGTCTAATAAATTGAATACACAAACACGTAGAGGCGTGTCGATCGCGTGAAATTCGGTTTGAATAAACGGAAGGGAGAGGGGGTTTTGTTTGAACGAAAGAATACCGTAGGAACGAACATTCGAATTTATCTTCCGCAGAACAAACGATGCACTGGTTCGCCCAAATCGGAGGTGACGAGGCCTCTACCGATTCGTCAGGTAATAATCAGCTTGGTAAATAACGGACAGAGTGTGCTTTGCGCCGAGAACTCGTCGCGATGTTTGCACGGAATTTAATGCGCCGCGTAACGAGTGCGTATTAATAGTAATCCCCCGTCGAAATTGGAAATGACCGCATTCATCAGTTGCTCGCGTTACCAGCCGTATTCTGTGCACGTTCCGCGTGCTCGTGTGTACTTGTGCATCGACTTCATTTGTGTGTGTGTGTGTATGTGTGTATGTGTTTCTTTTAAAAGCTTCATGTCGGATTAACAAAAATTTGCAGAAATTAGTGAAATAAAACGAAAGGCGGAATCTTCGATGCGGAAGAATGTGAATCGTTATTGGAGGCTTCCGGGTTGGAGTCGTGTGGACAGTGGCTGTAAACCCTTTCGCTGCGGCAGATTTTAGTATGTAACGCGCGTGGCAGACGGTCGATTTAAATCGCGGCCGCGAAATCTTTCGTTTCGGCAGTTTAGAATTTTCTTCAATTTTAAAGTTCTACTTAAGAAATTACAAATTTCTAAATTTCAATTTTTATTTTTGAAAGTTTAAGGATTCGTGAAAGTTTATATTTTCGTTCTAATTTTTGAAAGCTTAAGAATTCGTAAAAGTTTACGTTTTTATTTGAATTTGAAATTTGCTAAATTAAGACGCAAGCGCGCAAAGGACAAAAATGAAGGATTAAATTAAAGTGAAACTGTGCCGAAAGACGCCTAGTGCACAGCGCGAGCAAATTTCCGAAGCGCCAACGGGCGCCAACAGCATTCAAAGGGTTCAATTCCGACGTTTCGCCAACATCGCAGTTAGCTTGATCAGGACACGCTGAAAATGTCGCGTGTCGTTTCGGATTTGGGTTAATAATCGCACCGTGCTCATGTCACAAATCATTGGCTACCAAATGGGCTTTTTAAATTCAACCTCCAGGCGAAACGTCGGAATTTAACAACCATCGAACACTGCTCTAACCTGTAATCCTCGAATAACGCTTCGAATAATCCTGAAAAGTCCAATTAGAACGTTTCTCTGTTAGTGTTACAAAAAAATTCACTTTTTACTCTCAAGTACGTTAACACGTTTCGTGCCGGACCGATTTTCGGTGACTTTCCGTTCACGCCGCGTGGGTCGTATGCGTCCCACATTGTCCAGACTAACAGTTTTGCTTTTCGCCCTATATGTCTTCCAATATTTATAAGATTGGAAAAATCATTGTTATCGAGAAAAAGGTAACGTTTAAGATATGCTATAGAGCAAAGGAAAAATTTTTGTTTTAACAAATTATCGCCGTAGTTGCATAGTTTAAGTTAGCGAAATATCAGATGGCCTGAACGGAAAGACCAGAGTGGGGCGTATGCGACCCACGCGTTAATAATCGCATTAGCCCGAGCGAAAGAAACACGGTTGACATCCGCGCGCGGGGGGAGCAAAACGATGGCCTTTTTTTCTCCCGGGGAAAATGGGAACGCCAGACGAGAGAAGGGGAATTTATTTCTCGCCGCTTCCTCACCAGCTGATAAAACAGCTGCGAGCCGTGCCGTGGTTGAGAGGGAAAAGAAAGTGTACTCGCGTCGACTCGCGGAAATTGATTATCTTCGTCGTCGTAATCGAATCTGTTGCGGAAAAATATTCCCATAGAAGCCACAATTTCGCATCTTTTTTTTCTTTCTTCTTCCTCCCCCCCCCCCTAATAATTCTATTTCGTTAATCTCGTTTGGTCCACGCTGACGAAAGGGTTAACTCGCGTGTCTCGCCTGAAGGAGAACACAATTTATATTTACGAAGAATCGTTTAAAAAAAGCGGCCGTGAGAATTGCATGAAGCATGTAACTGTTTGAAAAGAATCACGTGTCATTTGAGAAGTGTCAAGCCAAAGCTTTCCGCGAGATGTGCTAATTATTGTGACTCGTTATTATGTCCGCGGTCGCATGCTTGCAGTGTGTCGATTACGCGAGTTTTAACGCTCGTCAATTACCCGAATCTCACGTGCGTACGCACATATTCTCGCTTTCTTCTCGACAGATGTGAAGCGCCGGCAAAGTTTCTACGACGAGGACTCCCTCGACGGTGATCATCCTAGCGAGAACGAAGGTATCACGTTTTCAAGGGCAGTGGTGTTCTGATGTTCGCGAAAGCACCATAAAGAAATTCTCGCGAACGTTCTCTTCATCTTTTCTGATATTTTCTTTTTCGTTTCGTTTTTCCAGTAGTTAACACGAATTTGTAGATATCGAACCGCACACCTTCGCGTTGATTACGTTCTATACACCGTCGCGTAGCTCTTTGTTTCCAACGGAATTCGTCCTGTTCGAAGGGACACGCGGTAAATTTCTAATCTCATCAAGTAGAGATCTGTATTATAAATGCAACCGTAGAGAGAACGCTTCTGCCACCGTGAACTCGTCCGGGAAACGATTAAAGACCACACATACACACGCTTTGTACGAAGCAGAAACAAAAGAGAAGAGAAAAGAAAGAAAGAAATCCGCGTGTAGCTCTAACGACGAGGAGAGGTAATCGATTCGCGCGGTTGTTCCCAGGACGGGAGTCGACGGGAAGCGCGAAAGACGTGGACAGGGCGAAGCTCGTCCGTGAGAGACAGAACGAAGAGCGGCAGCGGAAGTTGGAAGAGTTGAGGCAGCAGGCCCTCGCCGCGCAACGCTTCCGGGAGCAACGGGAAGAGGAACGCCGACGGCGCATCGACGAACTCAGATCGCGTGACAACGACAGGTTCGTACCTTTTACTCACACACACACCATCTTCCGATATACATATGCCAATGAGAAGTACTATTCCAACTTGTACCAAAGTTCCAATTTTTACCCTCTCGCGAGGCTACCTTCATTTTTTCTTCCGTTGCCTTTTTTCTGCGTGAAATTCTAAACGGGGTGAAAATACGCTCGAACGATCAGAGAAAAATTAAAAACGAAAAAGGGAAAAGTTCGAGCACGAACTTGGTGTACGTACGTTTTGAAAATTGGGTTATTTAATACGTGCCAGTGGTGAACGATAGCATGCCTTGAGGACGGCCTTTTTCCAACCTATGACACGCGAATTTAAAACGACACGGAACCACATTGATGTGTTTAAACGCTCTTTACGAGATTACGTGCTCTCTACGAGGTTATAAGTTGACCTGGTTAATATTGATGCCGGGCTAAACTGTTTCGCCGCCGCAGAGAAGCCCAGGAAATTACCGCGACACCTGCATACTGGTGTTCATCCGTTGGTCAAATCGCTTTTCGGATTCCCGTGGAAAAGAGAAGAAAAAAGAAACAGAATATCAGCCTATTACTTATGTGCGTAAGAGAGAACGTAACTTCTCTCGTTTCTCGCTTCCGTTCTCCAAAATGGAGGATTCTCTTAACCTTTTCGCTACGGCGGCCTTACTCGCGAATATGCCTACCACGGAGCAGTCCCAACGCTGAGGCACTTGTTTCACCGCGATCTAACCGACTTTACGAACGTAACTTTTAACCCTTTGCACTCGGAGGTGACTTTGGTGTAGAAAAGGTTGCAAATCGGATGTTTGAAATTTTTCAAACTAACGTAGAAATAAAGTATACTATTTTATTTAAATATTCAACGTATTCTCTATTTCACCGTGGTGAAGAAATTTATGGAGGCCCGTAGATCTGTTCTCTGTCTTCGTTAATTATTCACCAAGTGACGAGTATTCAGTCGTCACTCGACTGCAAAGGGTTAATAGCTAGTGGCGTGTTGTAATTTATTAATTCCTTATTCTAGTTGTAATACATGTAATACGTAAAGTGTAATACAATAATATATACAGGATATACCATAGAGGCGAATGGTTTTATACAGGCGCAGGAGACGAATGCAGGGACATTTTTACCCATAGCAAAATTTCTATCGTACACGGGTTCCAAGAAGGAATTAGATATAAATGTGTATACTTTCTGTTAGATTTTTATTTATAAATAATAGAGGCGCTTTTACATAAACACAGAAAAGCTTAATATGGTTAAAGTTATAATGCCGATACTGCTGTCTTTCTATACACGTTCTTGCTTCCACCGGGAAGAGCCGGAAAGGAGTGATCGGACATGAACGCAGACCCCGGAAATCGGCAGATCCCCATCGGCACCGCGCAGCTCCCATCGATCGCGATTATACATAGAGGCTATATATATTAGTATCGGGGCCTCCATACCCAAATAAGACACCTCGAAGGGAGAATAGAGAGGGAGTGGTTGGCGTAGCGCGCAAAGCCGAAGGTCCCGGGTTCGATTCCCGTTGGGTCCCTCAAAATTTTTCCCTAGGTTCCTACAATATTTCATATTTTTCTTGGTTATAATATTTACGTTCTATACGTAAAATAGGTGCATTTCCTGTACGAAACGTAATCTGAGGCGCCTGACTTTATCGCTGTCGAGTCAAAATTGACCCTGCATTCGTCGTACGGGGGTTAAGAATCAACGCGAAATTTTGACGGGTGACTATAGTCACCGCTAGTAACGAAAAGGTTTTAAAAGGCTGCCGAAATTAGCCTTCTCTTCTCCTCATACGATTTTACTCCTGTTTCTTTTCCGTAACGCGCGCGTTTCGCCGCAATGATTTTCCAGACGAAACCAAGTCGAGGAGAGGAAACGGTTGATATGCGAGGCGGAAAGGGAACGAAGGGAAGCGATCCTCCGGAAGAACCAGGAGAGGGAGGCGCGTATCGAGGCGAAGAAGAAGAACGAGAGGTCTCACATCGTGTTCGCCTTTGGAAGTTCTACACCGAGAATGTTGGAGCCAGCTGACACCGGCGGCTCCACTTTCTGGGGTACACGTAGAGCAACATCTATCACCAATGTAATGATGTTCTCCGCTGCTCAGCCGTTAACAAGGAGATCCTCCGAGAGGGAGCTCGATGGTAGCAAGAAACGAGCAACGTCCGCCGGTGGGCTTGACCGGAAACCTAGCGAAGGTTAGTGCAGATTTTCACCAATTTAGAGAATGATCTTTTCCTTCGTTTCGATGGATTCTGATTCGATGATACTTGTGAATAGGTGTATTTATTCATATTTTGCTACGATCTGTGTTACAAGTAATTGCCAAGCCACGACAGACGTCGATAGAATGATTTTCTGACTGTCTGTGTCGTTACATACGACGATCTCTCGTCGATTTTTCTAGTGTCGATGTTGTTTTTTAATCGATGTTTAAGTTGATCGAAGATAGACGGAAATTGGTCGACGTCTATCGTTGGACGTCGTTTTGGTCACCAGTTGTGTGACGAAAAGATATGAGTATGGTCGCGAGAGCTCGTTTAAGAAGAATCGTTAGCGGGTTAATCGTGTCGTTGGTGTGAGAATTATTTCTTGTTCCATGTTGGCACTCTCATAATCTCGATGCAATATACAATCCTGTTCAGAAGTATTAGGACACTTACGGAATGCGAAGCAAATATAAACAATATTTCGAGGTTCTTGACATCTTAAAAAGAATTATTCTTTACATACGAGGTTTGATAAAAAAACATAATCAAATTAGTATCGTAAAACTTTGTCAATAAAAAACAAATTCTATCTTTTACATTTCTAAAAACAATTTGAGAACACTCTACTTCCGAAACTTTTTGAACTCTTCAAATGCTGAAGATCTTTATTAATTTTTTTAATTATTCTGGAATCGAGAAACTTCTTAATTTTCTCCATTCCCTGAATTTCATTCTATTTTTCAAGTACTAAAGTTATTTTCTTATTTCTACTGTGTTCCGTATTATTTTGTCAAGCAGAATCTTATTTCATACTGTACGAGGTTTGATATAAAAAAATAAAAATTCCTGGAACTGCTTGGAAACTTGTTTAATAAAAAATCGTTCTGAATTGAAACGGTCTGCTTCGAAATAATCACAACAATGATAACCGCATCGTATCATGGCATCAGTTTTCCTCTTCATTTACAAGATATTGCGTTACACGCACGGTCTGGCTATTTTTTAAATCGAACCTCGTATTTTTTACCGGTACGCGATATCAACGCCGGCGAAGAAACGTAATTTCAATCGTACAATTAATTTCATGCACGTGGAATAACGAACGTCCTAACACTTACGAACGGGCATTGGTGTATCTTGCCGAATGGATCGAGAGACGTGCAGCGAAGGCCGCTTCTTTTCTCACTGCGTTCTTTCCACACAGCGCTTCTAGTGCTATAGTTACGCAATCGATGCGCCGCAACCGCGTAACGCATGGATGCACTATCGTTCCAGAAATATTTACATATGCAGAAACGAGACGTTCCTTGTTTGCGCGTGCGTTGCTTATGGCGCTACCTTTTTTCAGTTGGTCCTTTCGAAAGATCTTTATTGCGATTGCTGGAGGAACGAAACACAGACTTGAAAATTTCAACGATCTCGTTGCATAAACGCGATCGTGTAGAAAGAAGAAAAGAAAGAAAGTCGAGTTAAAGTCGCGGCGCTTCATCCTTGCTAATCGATCGAATTTCCTATTTCTTTTTTCTTCGTCTGTGGAAACAAAAAATTGAAAAAAAAATTGAAATACTGAACACTACACATCGACCACCAACACACGACCATAATCAACTGTACACGATATTATCATGGTTGTATTAACGATGAGAAAGAGAAGAATTGCGTCATGAAGCATGAGAGATCGGGTTCTCTAGTGTTTTGCTAGAAAAAATTGATTCGTGATCGTACTCGTAATGTGTATTGTAATTTTCTTGTACTTCCTTTCCAGGTTTCTTTTTTTTTTTCTCTCTCTGTTATACATTTTCTTCCTTTTTCGTTGTGTACTTCTCGTAGCCACATCCACCGGTTTTTTTTTTTTTTTTTCAAATTACTTTTCCCGCGTTCATTGTTTGAAACACGATTGTACTCATAGTTCGAAGGAGTAAAAACGGAGACGACGATACGTCTTTTCTTTCACGTTAGCCATATCACGTTCTGTTCTTTTGCCAAACATAATTTTCTCTTCATGTACACACACGAGAAGCACCTCATCTTCGCCAGCCGACTTCTCTGTAATCCGTACACGTTCATTACGAAGTACAACTGTCCAAAGCACATAGACTGAGAGAGGAAGCTAAACTCGTAGCGTGAAATGTGCTTGAGTAAATGTAATTTCACTAGAGAAATGTAATCTTGACCGAAGAGAGAGAGAGAGAGTGAGAAAGATCGAGCGAAAGAGAGAGAGAAATAAATCCTATTCGTTCGGTAATTAAGTATCCTTTTTGCATCCGCTCTATTTATCTCTGTACTTACTGGTGGTGGCTCTGTCAGGCAAAATGTATTTTGTAATTTAAAAAAAATACTTGTGAATCGCACACTATATCTAACTCATGCTAATTTTCCCCCCACTCCCCCAGTTTTTTGTTTATCTATCGAACAACTCCACCCCCGCCCAACCCCTGTTGAAAAGGCAAAAGAGAAACAAAAATTATTAGAAAAGAAAGAAAGAAAGAAAAAAAAGAAAAAGAAGAAGAGATCGATTGGATAGTACTTAATGTTGCAGCGTTCAATGGTTTGTTTGCAGATATGAGAATGTCCTCGTCCATGTACGAGGTGTTCAATTGGAATTCTAGCCCTGATCCTCCCTTAACCCCTGCCAAACATAAGAGAGCCAGCCTCTCTCTGCCTCCTACAACTGACATCTTTGCCATCGATGATAAGTCTGATAGCGACACTAGGCGTCCGATGATTCAGCGGGCTGCCAGTGGTGAGTCCTGAAGTCGAAAAAAAGCAAGAAACAAAATTTTTTTAAATGCAGTCTGCAACGGGGAGATTGTTCTGTTGTCCCAGAATGAGCTATTATCGATATCTATATATTCCTTGTCTCTCGTTCATTAGCACATCGGGATTATATAGTATATATATATATACTCTCTTGCAAGCACGTCACTTTCATTTAACGTCGTAAAAAAAAAAAAGAAAAGAAAAAAAGAACGTATCTGTACACTCTTCGTGAACGTTGTGCAACACCGATGGAATGATTCTCTTATATGGTAATCGTATTCGGGGTTCGTTCACAGGGCATCACAGAGCGAATATATTTCTTCTCTCTGCTTTGACGTTTGAAGTTTTGAAACAGATCGTTGCTGCACAACGTTCTACCTATTTAGTTAGTCATATGCATCCTAACGCTGTTCCAAAGTTACATACTAACAATACTAACTCTTTTTACGTATACATTTTGATGGGTTAACTACTAACCGCTCTAGATGAATCGTTGTGTTGTTACATTAGACAATTTTCACTTGATACCCGTTTCTTCCTGTGTCATTAGTAGCTGTATTTTACTTGTAATTTTAAAGCATACTCGCTGATAGCCTTTGCGAAATTCACGCGAAGAAGCTGAGTTGCCTCCCTCAATTTGTCGAATGCAAATGTTTCACGTCGACACGCTCTCAATTGTCGTACCATTCGTCACATTTGCCTTCTCGTGATAGAGGACAAAGCGCATACACTCATATATCATTTCATAAAACCGATTACATTCACTAACATACACATGCTGCTGCGTGTGTTCAAGTAGAATTTCAATTCAACGCGCTGATTAGAAGAGACGTTCTTTCACCGGCGTTCTTTTTTTTTTCCTTTTTTTCTTCGACGATTTCTCGCGATAAATCGAATTTAACGGAATGTTTCTTTAGAGAGAGAAGAAAAAAGAAGAAGAAGAAGAAAAGACGCTTACATCTGTTCGCAACAGCTTCTTTCATTTTTCGTCGACACACACGATATACAACCGGGCGTACGGTTAACAAATCGCTGTCTCTCGCGTTTTAATTCCACCGCTATAACACCAGACACTTTCTTTCGAAAATCGTTATGCATGCATAGGACTTTTACCGCTTGAACCGGGTGTATATCGTTTGCATGTGACCACGTTCCGTTTACACCGCTTCCGTACACGTCGTTCGTACACGTTCCCAGTAAACGCATTGTTCTCCCTCCCCTCGATTACCATAATATCCTTCTGTCGTAATACGTCAGAGCATATGTCCGTCTTAACGACACGATTTCCTCGACATTCTGTTTCTGGTAGCGTTATCGAACGACGTTCTAACTCGTATCACACGCACACACTGTTTTCTATCGCTTTTGCACACACACACGCGCGCACATGCACACCATAATACACACGCATACACGACAAATCACAGCATGGAGATAAACATCGATCGAATTGAGAGCAAATTTTAGTCGAGATTGCCGTATCGATACACCACACCTGTACACTTATCATACACATTAAACACTCTCATGTACACACACACGTACACACATACACAATCGATCCATACGAGAAATGGAACGATTTCTTTTTCTTCTTTCGATATATCTCGTTGTTTGAAAAAGGATGTTGTTAAAACGCGCGTCTTGTACATGTCTCGATTGTATTAGTGCCGCAGTATATTTTCCTTTTACGGTGGTCCGCTTTCGCGCTTTCGCTTCTAAGGGGGCGCAACTCGTTTGCAGGTGAAGAGAGCGACGGAACACCGGGAACACCTAGCTCGGTTTATCTACGGGTGAACAGGAGACGTACGGACCTGATGCCAACGATACCGTCGCCCCGTGACGCACCACCGACGTCTGGACGTAGTTCGAGCGCGAAGGCCTTCACACGTTCGCCAGGTAGGACTTACTCCATGTCCAGGCTGGACCAACTGGCGCAGCCTCGGAAACGTCCGACAGAACTTAGCACACTGACGGAACAGCAAAGCCAGCCACTGAGCGCTTCTAGCATGAGTCGCAGCATGTCACATTTAGCTGCGTCCGGAGGCAAGAGCCTAAAACGCTCAGATAACTCTCGTAGCATGGGTACATTGCCAGGGGCGGTACTGATGCCAAGACCAACGAGGGCGGAGAGACTTCGTCGCAAAGCCCGCGAACATCAGAACCAACAGCAGCAAGGTAAGATCGTTCTTGTGCACTCAACTCGATGATTACTTTCCCTCTTACGATAACGCACTCTCAGTCTTTTCAGTCACGCAACGATAACAGAAAGAAAGAGAGAGAGAGAGAGAGAGAGAGAGAGAGTATGTAAATATTGGAGACTCCGGGGTTGTCGTTGATTTCTGTACGAGGATTGGTCAGAATAAGGAGTGCGATTTTGTGAGGGAAGTTTGGGTGAGAGACGAAAATTCGAGATTTGAAACTTTGGAGAAGCGGAGTTCAAGGGACGAAAAGAAAACCATTTTTCGTTTCTAGGGGTGAAGTTACCTTCTTGAAGAAATTGCGAGTTTTCGTATCATCGTGAATATTCACGAAACCGTATAAGATATGGGAAAGAAGTTACGTTTGTTTTTCATGTCCTATATTGTGGTAGTAAAGAATTTTCGAAAATTCCTTTTTTTAACTTACCCCCGCCACTCTTTTTTCGAAAATTCTTTACCACCTTAACGCAGGGAATTAAAAACCACGCAACGTTGAATTTAACTGTTTCCCATATATTCCGTAAATATGAAAAGTATGAAAATTCAGCATTTTTCTGAAGGGGGTGTTCTTAAAAACAAATGATTTCCTTGTTAGGGTCACTTGAACCACATTTCTGCAAAGTTTCAAATTTTGTTGAATTCTCGAGTTGTCGAATTTCCCTTGCAAATGATTCCTTCCACAAGAATAGACAAAAATATTTATTTTTGTAAAAGGAATTCTGTGTGATTGTACCACTGTTCCCGATCAATCCTGTATCACACCCTTTTTCATTAATAAACATACATCACTCCGTCGTTATTCTATCCAAGACGATACTGTACACACTGGCAGACCGTGACATTATACGCTTCATTACTAATTTTCGTTAACTCACGTCGAGCAGGTAGAAAGATGTTTTTGTACGGTTACCGAGGAATTTCGAGATTTAACAAGGTGATATATATACCATACATGCACTCTTCGACGTTCTTTGTAACTTGAGTTGGGTGCACATGTGCATGCGTACGAATGCAGCGAGAGGAGCCATTGTGAATCAATAAGACAGAAAAATCGTTCGCGTTATACATCTCCGTTGCGATTCCACGAGACGACAGATAGAAGAGACTCACGCTTGGATGCTTGCATATTGTACCAGAGACTAACAAACGATCTTCAAAGCGTCTCACGCTTCATGTTTTATTAGTTTTTCATTATTTTCGTTTTTATTACTTAACAATAAAATCACACGCGTGACTGCATGAGGTTGTTCTTGTTTTTTTTTTTTCGTGTTAATATTATCTGTACAAAAACGAATTGATTAACAAAACGCTCCTGCTAAAACAAAAAGAAACACGGTCTCAGATCTCACCGGCTTTTCGGTACCCAGGGGTGAAGGTACGCTCTAACGTTTTCGGTAAGCCACACAATTTTTTTTTTTTAAATATAATGTATCTTAATCACGTATATCTCACCAACACACGTTTTACGCACAGAAAGGAGAAAGGAAAGAAAAAAAAAAAAGAAAACGATGCAAAAGTACGAAGTTTCCGAGACTGTGTACAAACGAACAGCAATCGTATTTAGTGTGCAATTATACATTTTTATGTCAACTCCGTATCTCTTTCGTTCTTTGATTCTGTTCGTTCTTACTCTGTTTTATAATATATATATACTTACACCTTACTAGATCATTTTTCTCCTCATACGTTACCTTCTCTTCTTTCGGCCTGTATTTTTTGTTTCTTTCTTTTTTTTTTTTATTACCACTCAGTTACCTTCGATGTGTGCATACAATCTCACAATTACGACACACGTAATCAAAATGATATATATGTATATATATACATATATATTTTTGGTGGCGGTGCTTGTTTTTTCTCTTTTTTATTTTCGCTACTTGTATCTCTTTTAATACCTCCACGTCTACTCTAATTGAAGAAGTCACGTGATAAAACAGAAACAATATTAAATGTCCCAGAGTTTAAAGAAAGGAAAAAAGAAATCCAAAATGAATAAGAGAAGAGAATGAAAGAAAATTACGATATGAATTAATATGGTTAGCGTATGTTCGAGACATCCGTATCGATTCCCGTCAGCATTGTGCTCAG